AAAGAGAGATGAGAGCGCCGGCGAGGGGCGAGAGGAGGAAGAGTGAGAGTAGACGAGAGAGAGAGACGAGATGAGATAGAGAATCCAGAAAGAGGAGAGAGAGAGCGCGCCCGCGCGCGAGAGAGCACGAGAGAGAGAGGAGAAGAGAGAGAGAGAGAGAGAGAGAGAGAGAGAGAGAGAGCACGAGTGAGAGCAGAGAGTGAGGGAGAGGAGGAGGAGAGAGGAAAGAGAAAAGAAAGACAGAGACAGACAGAGAAGGATGAGAGAGAGACGAGAAAAAAAGAAGAAAGAAGAGGAGAGCGAGAGAGAGACGAGAGGAGGAGAGGGAGGCGGAGAGCGAGAGCGAGAGAGAGAGACGAGAGAAGAGGAAGAGAGAGACAGACAGCAGCGAGACGAGAGAGAAGGAGGAAAAGAGAGAGGAGAGAGAGAGACGACGAACGAGAGAGCGGAGAAAGAGAGAGACAGGAGCGGAGAGAGTACGAAGAGAGAGAGAGAACGAGAGGAAGATGACCGGAGAGAGAGATGAGAGAGATGAGAGGACAGACAGCATGCAGCAGAGAGAGAGAGAGAGACGACCTCATCTCGTTGCACACGAGTGAGAGAATTAATACGAGCAGACAGAGAGAGAAGAGAACAGAGGGAGAGTGCAGAGGCAGATGCGCCGACTTTGATGAGAGGGACGGCAAAAGCAGATATATATATAATATATATATATAATATTATATATAATATATATATATTATAGCAAAGAGCGGAAAGAACTGAGAGAGCAACATGTAAACATCGGAGGGCCACGTTTCGGACGGGAGCGACACGCACTGATGTTAATTAACGTCGGACGGAGGACACGCCTGAGTGTTAATTAAACCAAGTTGACGATAATTAAGAACCTCACACAGCTTATACGCATTGACCTCGCATTCATTTATTATTATGATATAGCACAGACACACATACAGAGAACACAACGCACGCACGCACGCACACGCACGCACGCAGCACGCACGCAGCACCACACACACACACACACATACATACTTCAAGCACCATGGTATTTGTCGTGGAGATACGAGCGGAAAAAGCCACCGCATTACACATAAATCACTCGATTAATATTAATTACTTCAAATTAATTATTTCATTAATGATTCACAGCTCAATCGGGCCGACGAGCAAATTATAAATATCGATCCGCATTAAAATTGTATCTTGATTATTAATCATATTAAATTTGATTTCTGATTATGAATCATTAAATCGAATCGATATTAATCTTAAATCGATCTGATTATTATCATTAAACCAATCTATTATTAAGTCATTAATTATCAATTACTAATCGCCATCTGACTTGCGTAGGTGATAATTGATGTCGTAGAGAAAGGATCGCGACAAGAGAGAGAGAGAGAGAGAGAGGAAGAGAAAGAGGGAGTAGCAAGAAGAGAAAGAGGAGAGAGAGAGAGAGAAGAGAGAGAGGAGAAGACGATGAGAGAGAAGAGAGAGAGAGAAGAGAGGAGAAAGAAGAGAGAAGACAGAGATTAGGATGCGAAAACAGACAGACAGGAGAGAGAGGGAGAGAGGGGAGAGAGGGAGAGGAGAGAGGTAGAAGAGAGAGAAGAGAAAGAGAAAGAAGGAGAGAAAAGAGAGATGAGAGGATAAGAGAGAAGCAGGAGACGATGAAAGATGTGAGAAAGACTGATCGAAGAGACCTGAGAAAAGTAGAGAGAGAGAGAGATAGAGATGGGGCGAAGAAAGAGAGAGAAAGGAAGAAAGAGAGAGAAAAGTAGAGAGGAAGAGAGAGAGAGAGAGAGATGGGACAGACAGAGATAGAGCAAAACACGACAGACAGAAGAGAGAGAGAGAGACGAGAGGGGAGAGAGAGAGAAAAGAGAGAGAAGAAGAGAGAGAGATGGAGACTAGACAGAGCATAGAGCAAAACAGACAGACAGAGAGAGAGCAGAGACGGAGCAGAGAGAGAGAGATGGGAGAGAGACGGAGAGAGACAGAAACGGGAGAGAGAACAGACAGCAGAGATGACTGAGAGCGCATGAGAGAGAGAGAGAGAACGAGATGAAGAGAGAGGAGCCAGACAGGAAATGATGAGAGAGAGGACTGCTCAAAGCTACCACTGACGCTGCTCAACAACGCGCCTTTAGTCTAAACATCACACATTTTGCAAATTCGCTAACACTAAGTTGGCTAAAACAGAACATGTTACATTCTCTATATGTTCTATGTTTTTATTGAAAACATCTCCCAATCTAGTTTGCTATTGGACCAGTTGTTTTTTTTTTTTTCATTTTCACTTTTGCGTTTACACTGCCGACTGTCGGTTGCTTAGTGCGACAAATTGGGTTCATATTCGCCTATTTGACAAAACATAACGTAAACCCAGCTTGCAGTTTATATTAGTTGGACATATAAGACCGTATGTGCATGGCGTAAATCCCGCGGGGGATGGGATCGATCGCCCCCCCCCCGCTCTTGAATGGAGGGGATTGCGCCTGTTACAAATAATCCCCCTGAAATCAAAAAAAAACTCCTTCCTTACGTGCCCCACTTGAAAGTTTCAGCTGAATTATGATAATTTGGAGACATGGGCAGAGCCTAAATAATTTTCAAATTACTGCAGTGGGCGTGTACAGGGGGGAGGGGTCCAGGCGGGTCCGACCCCCCCCCCCCTGCTCGCGCCAGAAAACGCATCTGAGGGCCGGGCCTAATCTCAAAAATTTCTGGGGGAGGGCCCCCCAGACTCCCCCCTTCGCGTGATCATCCTCCCCCACTCCTCGGTACGGATTTACGCCCCTCGTATGATGCATCATGCAGCATGCTATGCAGCCTCCATCATAACTCCAGCTTCACTCATGTAAGAATAATACATTGTTTACGAACGTGATGTATGTTGTTACACTGACGCTAGCACGACTACAGCTGACACCGAGACACTGACTTACAAGTAGTGAATACACGTATTCGGTACAAATGCACTGAAGGTTAAGCAGCAGCAGCAGCAGCACCACCACCACCAGCAGCAGCACCACCACCAGCAGCAGCAGCACTAGCACCACCACCATCAGCAGCAGCAGCAGTAGCAGCAGCACTATCAGCAACAGCAGCAGCAGCACCACCACCATCAGCAGCAGCAGCAACAGCAGCAGCACTATCACCACCACCATCAGCAGCAGCAGCAGTAGCAGCAGCAGCACCACCAGCACCACCACCACCAGTAGCAGCACTAGCACCACCACCATCAGCAGCAGCAGCAGTAGCAGCAGCACTATCAGCAACAGCAGCAACAGCAGTCACGTATAAGAACGAGGAGACGACGACGATGACGAGGATGCATCAGAGTAAACGATAATGGAGGAAGCGCGCGAGTCGATCTAAAAATGAGGTTTTACAACGACGATGACACCGACGACGACGACGACGTACACAAATTAAAAATCTCCGCGGAAAACTACACTGAAATGATCTGAATACTGACGAAACGATGATATTTCAAAGAACAAGCACCAGCAAAGTGCGTGGAAACGGGGGCAGCCTACAGCACAGCCAACTCTCCCAATACCCAACCACCCTACCATCCATTTAGTTCTGTTTTCCATAAAGTATGAGGTTTATAAGGGGTGGTGGTGGGGGGAGGGGGTCTCACACATCTCAGATGGCATTGAGACCTGGAAGAAAACTTGGACTTTCTTGGGAAAGATTGTCCGCTTTAACGCGAGATTGGCTGTTGAAGGCGTTCGGAATTTGGAGAGTTGATTGTAGACTCTAGTTTCACTGTTCCACTAAAGCCTAGCGCAGACATGCGATTTTTGGTCGCTCGTCGCTGCAACCTGCAACTGATCGGTCGATGTGTCACCGCGTGTGTGCACGCATGCGATTTCGAAGCAATTCTGGAGCAATTTGGGATCGGTTGGGAGCGACGAGTCGGTTTGATTTCTTGCAACTCGTCGCAAGCGACCAGAATCGCTACGGGTTGCAGTTGCACGTTTCCGCAGACGTAGCGATTTTTACAGCGATTCTAGAATCACTGTCAAGTTGCATAAAAAAAAATCGCTACGTCTGCGCTAGGATTAAAGGAAAATATATATTCTGAATACAAACATCACGGATGTGTCCGTCAGCATGTGTATCGGTAACACTGCACAGCCATCATAGAATAGAATAGCGGTTTACAGGAATAGGCCCGAGGGCCTGTATCCGGTCTAATTAATACATCAAACCTCAATTTTGTTCATAGTCCCTCGCGATGTTAAATGATTCTAAATTGGGTATTGGTCGTGGTCATTTCTTGGAATGAAAATAAATTAAATAACAATAATAACAATAATCAATTAAATTAATAATAACTCTGTTACACCAAGAGTTCTTCCCCTCGGCACATTATTCAACAACGCGATTATGTATTCGCAGCAGGAATTGCGACTTTTCAATTGCGAGTTTTACAAATAAATTGCGAACAAATTGCGGATCGCGAGGGGGAAACTAAACCTATGAGCGTTCACGCCAGAGGTCGCCACCTGCCCTCGCTTCACACCAGCAGCTTGGGGGCGCCACCGTCGGCGGCGCCGATGTCTCGGCCGAGACAGAACGCGATGAGATTGACGAGTTTCTCGCGCGTCGAGAAGCGCCGGCAGGGGGCGCCGCGCGCGCGAGCCGGCGACGCGAACATCAGGTTCTGCACGGTCGTTCGGTCAACGCACACCAGCGCCACCTGGTACTTGAGCAGCGCGATGCACCAGACGAGCGTGGCGGCGTTCAGCGTTGCCGCCGCCAACACAAGAGCGTCCCGCAGCGTCGCGCGCGCTATCGCCGCCGCCGTGCCAAGCTCCCCGTAGGTGGCGTTGACGTAGACGACGACGTTCGCGAGGAACATCGCCATGGCGACGGCGAGCACGAAGACGAAGCTGAGGAAGAGTCGGTGGTTGCTGCGGGCGACGCACTTGGTGAGGAAGAGGCAGTGGTGGTCCATCGTGTGCATGCAGGACTCGCAGAGACGACAGTGCTTCGTACGATCAGGCATGACGATCTGTAACCACGGCAACGGAATGCGCTCGTCACGATTCGGAAGGGAAAAATAAGAAGAGAAACTGTTTTCTTTGATCAACAACAACAAAAATTTGCAATTGCATAAATAAAACGACGATTACTTGAATTATCTTTCATTAAATATATCGGATATTTGGTTCGCGGGTAGAAACGAAGAAAATTAAAGAGCGGGGAAAATTAATTAATAATTCAAGGCTCGGTGAAAAGGTCGCAGAGAGTGCAAATGTCAGCATCAAAGGTCACTGTCGAAGGTCGAGGGGTCGCGACCCCAGGGGTCAAAGGTCACCGACCTCGCAGAATCCGCAGAATCCCTCCTGCGGCACGGCGCCCCTCGCCACGTCTCTGATCGTCATGTACGGCGACGTCGCATCCTCCTCGTCGCCGCGGCAACCGTCTCCCGCATCCACGCCCGCGGCGGCGGCGGCCAGGGGGCGCCGGCGTGCCTCGCGCACGGTGCCGGGATCTCTCCAGAGGAGAACGGAGAACGTCGGGATCATGATGATGATTCCCATGATGCAGAGTCCATCCAGCAGCGGGCTGATGCCAAACACAACTGTAAACAACAACAACAACAACGTGGCTGAAAACAACAACAACACCAACAACAACAACAACAACAACAACACA